AAAAAAAAAAGTGAACAAATGCATTTAACATTTTAACAGTTTGTTCATTTTGTTCACCTTTGAAGCCAAATAAATAACGGTAAATTTGCTGTTCTTCTTTTTTTTCCCCTTTTCCACTTCTAATAATGAATTTTTCGCATAATTACACCAAAAAACCAACTGCAGTCTTTTCCATAACAGTATCGAAGTGAAGCTGAAAATTCTTTTTTTTTTTTCTTAGTCGACGTTTACTGAAAACGTTCAGTAATGTTAGTTGACTGCTGTACAGCGAATCTGCATATAATTTATATTGGTTCTGAAGACTTCCGGTTGCTGAAGAGAAAAAAAAAGTGTTTTTGAAACCAACAGTATCGACGATATAAAAAAGTCTCAAAAAATTTCACTTTTAATGTCATTACTTTTCAAAATTCTTTTTTTTTTTTTTTTTTTTTTTGTAACCAGTGGAAGGCTTCTTTTTCTTTGCCTTTGTTTTTTTTGCCAGTGAACACCTAATTGTTATGCATTTTACTGCACATCTTTTTTGCCAAGTATTTGTTGTAAATAATCACTAAGCAAAGTTATGTGCTATAAAAAGCGTTCACATAATACATATATTATTATCAATTATCATTGTTACTGTTATTGTTATTATTATTGCCGTTATTATTATAACTATTATTATTATCATTATTATCTTCACTATTACCATTTATTTTAAAAAACAGAGAAATAAAGTCAGTGCGGCGTGGAGGGCGATTACTGAATGAGCCGACGAAAAAAAAGAAACTGAGTTTGACTTGTTGGTAGTTTGGAATCAAAGAATAACTGAGTAATCAAATTCTATGTTCTGAAAAGCTTTCCTCTTTTTGCTTTCCCTTTATTTTGCAAATTCTTAATGCACTTTTGCAGGAGAATAAGACTGGGGTGACAATAACAAAGAAGGAGTACTAAGAAGTGGAAGAAGAAGAAGAAGAACATAAGGGGACCAGTAAGAAGAAGAAGGAGAAAAGAAAAAGAAGACAAAGGAGAATACAGAAGAGAGCAATAATGGCGTAACTAATGCTTGCAAAAAAAATTTTTCTAGTGGAAAAAAAAAAAGAGATGAAAAAAAAAACAACAGAAAATTAAAGAAAGTTTCAATCAATTGATATAATTTGTTATTTCTTTTTCTTTAAAACCTTCCAGTTTTGATCCCTTTCAATTATTCCGTCTTACCCGTCCTCTTCCATATTCTCCGTTGTCATTCTCATCAAGATCGTCATCATCCTTACCCGTCATCATCATCTCCGGCATCACCATCGTAATAATTGTTGTCTTCTTTCTCTTTTTTTCCTCTGTCTTCTTTTCTCTTTCTCTCACCTTTATCTTTTTTTTTTAAAACTTGCTTTTAATAAGTTTCTTCGTTCCGGACGATAACAATGATCTGATTGTAAATGAACAGCTTAGAAAAACTACTATTTTCACCAATATTATAGTCGAGTACGACGAGGTGAATGGGAAATAGTATCTGGGGCTGTACAAACTGGCAAAAGCTCCAACTAAAAATGATTTAACGATGCTGATGCGTTATGCCCCTATTCTTTTGCTCACAAATTCTTCGCACGATATTTGATATGTTTGGACGTCGTTGTGGAGTAATGGCAGCAACAGTACCACCACGAATTTCATCACCATCACCACCACCACCACCACCACCAGTACCACCACAGTTGACAGCGTCGGAAACAACAGCAACTGTAGCTGCAACGGCACCAGATGTACCAGCGGCAAAGACAGCAGTTTGGTGGGTTTTAATCTTTGTACTTTTCAGTTTTTTAGTCAATTCACGGAATAATAACGGTAAGTTCGTCAACAGAGACACTGAACATAGTGGTGATCTGGTTTGATATGTTCAGATCCGATCCGATCTGTTGTATTCTTCAGTGGTTCTCATACTCCTGCTTAGTAACTGTTTTTTTTTTTCAACTATCTCATCTCTCCACCGCAACTTTCTTCATTCATTCAATTTCCGTTCAATTCAAAAATTTTTTTTTGAAGTATTGTGA